ACGATTAAGGCCGATGGGGATCCTAACAGGAGCCGAGTGTGGAATCAAGGAAACGTGCTGGGGAAACAGAGATGTCAGTGCAGCACCTGTGCTGTGGAACTGAGAGCTACCAAAGGCAGAGCGCAGCAGAGGGCTTTTCAAAGGCGATTGGGTTGAGGCAGATGGGATATAAGAGGAGCTGAGTGTGGAATCAAGGAAACGTGGTGGGGAAACAGAGATGTCAGTGCAGCTACCTATACTGTGGAACAGAGTGTTTCCAACGGAAGAGCGTAGCATAGAAATTCTGAAAGCAAAGCGCAACAGAGTTTCATTCAGTGAGGAAGCAGAAGATTCAGTGCAATGAGTGCTTTCCAGAAGGCAGAGGGTTGCCAAGGGGCAGAGCGCTTTTTAAAGGCAGCGTTTCAACCGAAGGTGAACGTACAAATAAATCACAAGAGAGGACGCATACCTCGCTGGCACATGCTTTGCACTGATAAAGGGCTATTTTTGAGACGTCTCGAACATAACCTTTTATGAAAGGCAGCGTTTTGAATTGAAGGAGGAAGTACAAACAAATCACAAGAGAAGAGGCACACCTCGGCGGGCACCAGCTCTGCACTGCGGCTGCTTGCATGGCTCCTGCTGCGGTCGGCTCAGAGGCAACAGAGGCTTGCTGCTGGGTTAGAGAGGCGAAGGCGGGCAGACGTTGGGTGACGATGGGCGCACCCCCCCAGCTGGTAATTATATTCGAAATGGTGTTGAGCCAAGGGAGGAGGGAGAATGTGAGAGGGAGGGGTGTATGTGAGGGATGGAGGGTGGATGTGAATGTAAGGGAGGAGACGGGGGTTGCGGGGGAGGGAGGGGGGTTGCGAGGGAGAGAGGGATGGAGAGAGGGGGTTGCGAGAGAGAGGAAGGGGGTTTGGGAGGGAGGAGGTTGTGAGGGAGGGATGAAATAATGTGGCGGGGAGGAATGCGAATGCGAGGGAGTGAGGGTAAGTGTGGGGAAAGGACGGCGAACGTGAGGGGGGAAGGGGGGGGGGAAGGGGGGGGGGGAAGGGGAAGGAGTAACGTGAGGACAGGAGAGTGAATGTAAGCGAGGGAGATTGAATATGAGGGGACCAGGTGTGAATGTCGCATAAAAAGCCACAGCGCCACCAATGACTCCAACCAGAAACGAATCAAATAATAGCAAAGAAAATAGGTCTGGAAAACATGGGGTTGTCAAGCACATGAGCCCATGAGTCCCTAATCACGACTGCAAGAAATCATGCGTTTGCAGATGCATCAGAGAAACGAAAACCCCTATCTTACCTAACGTGAGAAGGAAAAAGCACTGGCTCTAGGTCTTTACCGGGAAAGAACCTGCCATTGCAAAATCAATTCCAACCAATGACGGGTTAGTCTCACATGCAGATGACGTGGCAGCGGTGGCAGGGAACAAGAACCCAGGTGGACCCACAGCAGAAGCCGCTGATAGCCCGCCTCCAGTTCCTCCCAATGACGTGGCAGCAGAACCCGCGGCTGACGTGGCAGGCGCGTGGTGGTGGTCCCGTGGCTTGGCCCGCGTGGTCCTCGATCCTTGTCGTCTGCATATGGTCGACTGGGAGAGGCGAGAGAGGATACGAAGGAGGTGAGGCGTAGGGGGAGGAGGGTGGAGGTAAGGAGCGGGAGAGAAGGGTGGAGATAAGGAGCAGAGAGAAGGGTGGAGGTAAGGAGCAGAGAGAAGGGAGGAGGTAAGGAGCAGAGAGAAGGATGGAGGTAAGGAGCAGAGAGAAGGGTGGAGGTAAGGAGCAGAGAGAAGGGTGGAGGTAAGGAGCAGAGAGAAGGGTGGAGGTAAGGAGCAGAGAGAAGGGTGGAGGTAAGGAGCAGAGAGAAGGGTGGAGGTAAGGAGCAGAGAGAAGGGTGGAGGTAAGGAGAGGAGAGAAGGGTGGAGGTAAGGAGCGGAGAGAAGGGTGGTGGTAAGGAGCGGAGAGAAGGGTGGAGGTAAGGAGCGGAGAGAAGGGTGGAGGTAAGGAGCGGAGAGAAGGTGGTGGTAAGGAGCGGAGAGAAGGTGGAGGTAAGGAGCGGAGAGAAGGGTGGAGGTAAGGAGCGGAGAGAAGGGTGGAGTAAGGAGCGGAGAGAAGGGTGGAGGTAAGGAGCGGAGAGAAGGGTGGAGGTAAGGAGAGGAGAGAAGGGTGGAGGTAAGGAGCAGAGAGAAGGGTGGAGGTAAGGAGCAGAGAGAAGGGTGGAGGTAAGGAGCAGAGAGAAGGGTGGAGGTAAGGAGCAGAGAGAAGGGTGGAGGTAAGGAGCAGAGAGAAGGGTGGAGGTAAGGAGCGGAGAGAAGGGTGGAGGTAAGGAGCAGAGAGAAGGGTGGAGGTAAGGAGCAGAGAGAAGGGTGGAGGTAAGGAGCAGAGAGAAGGGTGGAGGTAAGGAGCAGAGAGAAGGGTGGAGGTAAGGAGCAGAGAGAAGGGTGGAGGTAAGGAGCAAAGGGGGAGTAAGCAGCAGAGAGAAGGGTGGAGGTAAGGAGCAGAGAGAAGGGTGGAGGTAAGGAGCAGAGAGAAGGGTGGAAGGTCAGGAGCAGAGAGAAGGGTGGAGGTAAGGAGAGGAGAGAAGGGTGGAAGGTAAGGAGCGGAGAGAAGGGTGGTGGTAAGGAGCGGAGAGAAGGGTGGAGGTAAGGAGCGGAGAGAAGGGTGGAGGTAAGGAGCGGAGAGAAGGGTGGAGGTAAGGAGCGGAGAGAAGGGTGGAGTGGAGGTAAGGAGCGGAGAGAAGGGTGGAGGTAAGGAGAGGAGAGAAGGGTGGAGGTAAGGAGCAGAGAGAAGGGTGGAGGTAAGGAGCAGAGAGAAGGGTGGAGGTAAGGAGCAGAGAGAAGGGTGGAGGTAAGGAGCAGAGAGAAGGGTGGAGGTAAGGAGCAGAGAGAAGGGTGGAGGTAAGGAGCGGAGAGAAGGGTGGAGGTAAGGAGCAGAGAGAAGGGTGGAGAGAAAAGGGTGGAGGTAAGGAGCAGAGAGAAGGGTGGAGGTAAGGAGCAGAGAGAAGGGTGGAGGTAAGGAGCAGAGAGAAGGGTGGAGGTAAGGAGCAGAGAGAAGGGTGGAGGTAAGGAGCAGAGAGAAGGGTGGAGGTAAGGAGCGGAGAGAAGGGTGGAGGTAAGGAGCGGACAGAAGGGTGGAGGTAAGGAGCGGAGAGAAGGGTGGAGGTAAGGAGCGGACAGAAGGGTGGAGGTAAGGAGCGGAGAGAAGGGTGGAGGTAAGGAGCAGAGAGAAGGGTGGAGGTAAGGAGCAGAGAGAAGGGTGGAGGTAAGGAGCAGAGAGAAGGGTGGAGGTAAGGAGCAGAGAGAAGGGTGGAGGTAAGGAGCAGAGAGAAGGGTGGAGGTAAGGAGCAGAGAGAAGGGTGGAGGTAAGGAGCAGAGAGAAGGGTGGAGGTAAGGAGCAGAGAGAAGGGTGGAGGTAAGGAGCGGAGAGAAGGGTGGAGGTAAGGAGCGAGGGGAGGAACTGAGGAGTGGTGAGGCAGCGCGTAGGAACGAAAGACTGAAGCACTCAGGGGAGGTGACGGCGACTACTGATGTAACGGCGACAGAGAGTTCATCCTGACTGCTGGCGGACTGTAATAGCAGGAGGGAACACAGGGTCGAAGAGCAGATGCAACGTGCACACCGTGTTGACTGGACGACGCAAAAGTTCCTCTCTCGACAGTTTTGACAACTCTCAATAGTTAATCCCTTGACACTTTTGAGGTGACTTATGAGTCGACTCAAAAGGTGACCTTTCAATAGTTCCTCCCTCTCCCTCACACCTCCAGCACGCCGCTCTCTCAACGTGCGTGCTAGTACGAATAGAAAAGTGCGGAAAAGCCGATCCGATTTGAGACAAGGTGCGTTGAAACTAGCCGCTAATCACGTACCCGCGATGCGCCGACCGGCGCCGCCTGACGTCGGAAGCTGGCCGCGCGTCGGCCATGGAAATCTCGGAAAATGTGTAACCGCTGGAAAAGGTTCAAAGGCACCTAACGCTGCAGCCGTGAGTATTTACGACGGACTGGAATGGTTGCAGGATGCTGGGATCCCAGAATGTTTTTTTCAGCTAAAAAGGCGATGGAGACAGCTGGAAGGAGAATTCAGAATGCCACTAAGCAGCGGGTCCTCTTTTCGATTCCAGTGCAGCATGACGGCTGCTCGAGTGAGCGAGCGACGGCGACTGTTACGTCACCAGCAGGTGCTTTTTGAGGCGCCTACAGGTCGTTCCCGAGTTAGATTGTGCTGCTTTAAGTGGTAAGCACGTAGTGCGAAAAGGCTTGCCAAAATATACGCGCGTGTCCTGAATGTCGACCCGAGAACAGCAACATATCCGACGCGACGGGTCCTAGGTCCTGACCTAATTGGCGATTCGTCAGTAAACCTATAGCAAAGAAGCGGATTCGCGTATGATGGCATCGCTAGTTCGCGATTAGTGATAGCATCACTAGTTTTCCTGCTAGCGAAATCGGTGTGGAGGTCCAGGCGAACGTCCCTCATGGTTACGGGATGTGGATGAGGATAATCATGGTGAACACAGAAGTATTGAAACTTTCGTTGTTAGAGTACAGTTAATCAACGTAAGAATGATAACAAGCTCTTGATTATTTGGCAATGAGCAACCTAGAGTCAAAATGAGTGCTCCATAGGGTTTGAGAGGGCATGCTGGCAGTCTGCCATGATGCAAGTCAGCTTCAGGTGGAGGTCTGTCAGGCACATGTTGCCAATCGAACCCCAGGCAGGAGTCATGGTCTTTGCTAGGCACAACATGTTGCCCACGCCCTACCCATGTACCACCTTCTGAGTCGCAAACAGAAGGCTGTAATTCGTTTTTGCTCATATAAGCACCGGCATGGGATGTGGGGGAGTGTGATGTGGTTGTGACTCCTCTATTTCTGTTGTTCATGTAGCTCCAAATGAAGTTGTGATGCAGAAAAAACCCCGTTGTTATGTAGAATACTGCACGATCCATGGATGACCTGTCATGCCATGCCATGCCGCCCCATCACATACAGTACCATCCCATGCCACGACATACCATACATAACAGACAGATGGAAGTTGAGGTGGATGGTGGGCGACGAGACATAGGTGTGAACATATGCCTTGCTGAAAATGTCACTTGCGGTGAATAAGGAGGTGATATTTGGGAAAACGTTTCAGGGCACGAGTGTGAGGCGACGGAAGGGGGGGCGTGTGGGAGGGTGGGGGGGAGGAGGAGGGGAGGCGAGCAAGAGTAACAACGCACTGGTCTTTCTCACGCAAGTAACAACCCACATAGCAAACACGCACCAGCACCACCATCCACTTACCAAGCCAATCAATGCACCCCAAAATCCGAGCCAATCAGCCCAGCCGATTAAACTCACCAAGCAACTCAAGTGCTGATATCCTCTTGCGGGGGTCCTTCACGAGTATCCTCCTTATAAGATCTTTGGCGTCCTCGCTCACAGTGCGCCACTTGGCGGACCTGAACTGCACCTCCTTGCGCCGGATCGCATCGAATATGCCCTCGTTGCTCGCCGCCCAGAACGGCGGGAAGCCGCACAGCATGATGTATAGGACGATACCCGCCGACCAGATATCTGATTCGGGGCCGTACGAGCCGGTGAGGACCTCTGGGGCCATGTAGTACGGCGTGCCTACGAACTCAGTGAGAGGCTCGCCTGTAAGGGAGGGGTGAGGAGAGGATAGGGACAAGGAAGAATGAGATGCACATCTGTAAGAGCCGGTGGGGACCTCTCGGGCCATGTGGTAGGGCGTGCCGACAAACTCTGTCAGGGGCTCGCCTGTAGCATGGGAGGAGGGGAGAGGGGAGGGGAGAGGGGAGGGGGAGTGAGGAGCACGTTTGTACAGGCCAGATATCCGACTCGGGGCCATACGAGCCGGTGGGGACCTCTGGGGCAATGTGGTAGGGCGTGCCTACAAACTCAGAGAGAGGCTCGCCAGTAAAATGGGCAGAGGGGAGAGGGGAGAGGCAAGAGGGGGAGAGAGGAGCACATCTGTAAGAGCCGGTGAGGACCTCTGGGGCCATGTGGTGGGGCGTGCCGACGAGCTCTGTGAGAGGCTCGCCTGTTAAAGAGAGGGAAGGGGGAAGGGGGAGAGTGAGTGAGGAGCACATCTGTAAGAACCAGTGAGGACCTCTGGGGCCCTGTAATAGGGCTTGCCTACAAAATCAGTGAGAGGCTTGCCTACGAACTCAGCAAGACGCTCTCTTGTAAAGAGGTGTGGGGGGAGGGGGAAAGAAGGCAGAAAGGGAGTGGGAGGAGAAAGAGGAGGGAGAGGAGAGGGAGGAGGGGGATGAGAGGGAGAAAAGGGAGGAGAGGGAGGAGAGGGTGTTAGATTATACTACTCTTCTGTATCCTGCATTGATCCTAAAAACCCTAGGATAGAGATAGGCACCCAAACAGTGTTTGGGTGCACAACTAGGGTTAACCCTAGTTGGGGGTTGGAACCCAACCTTGGCCCAAATATTGGACCCCAAGGTTGGGTTGGAGGGTTATTGGCCCCCCTCAATAATGTTGGCCCACTTTGACCAACATTATTGGGACCCCCCAATAATTCTCCAACCCAACTTACTGGTGGGGGCCAATAATGTTGGCTAGGTACCAACCACCCCCCCTTTCCTTAGCTCCAACTATGTAAGCCCTCATCATTCCTAATCAACTCATCAGTTCAATTCTCACAGAGGGAGGAGAACGAGGTGACGCGGATTTTGGAGGCGCCTAAAAAATAATGACAGCGCCATCGACCCTGTGCTCTCTACCACAGGAACACCAAAGTATGGTCTGAACCTCGAGGGTATTTTTGAGACGTCTCAAAAATACCCTCAATACACGAGGCAACACCAAAGTCGATCACTCCAATAGCAGTATCGCCATCCTTGTGCAGGAGTAGTGTAAAATTCCTCACTTGCGGCCCTCTTGATATAAGCCTGCTTCTGAGGAGAATGTTCTCAGGCTTCACATCACGTCGCGGGGTGCAATGCCGTTGGAGTGGCAGTACAGCAGCGCCTCCACCAGCGTCTGGCACACAAGCACACAATGCCATGCCATGCCATGCCATGCCATTCTAGTAGACCAATGTTCATACCGTGTCTGAATCGCGTGGCGACGCCAAAGTCGATAACTTTGATATTGGTGTCGTCATCCTTGTGCATGAGGAGAATGTTCTCCGGCTTCACGTCGCGGTGAGCAATGCCATTGGAGTGGCAGTAGAGCAGCGCCTCCACGAGCGTCTGGCACACGAGCGCCGCGCTGCGCTCGCTGTACTGCCCCCTCAGCTTGATGCGGTCGAACAGCTCCCCTCCCTTGCAGATCTCCATCACCAGGTGCACATGCTGCCCCACAAGCAGGGACGATGGGGGCAAGAGGAGGGGTTGACAAGGGAAGGTGAAGAGAGGTGGAGAAAGGTGAAGAGGGTATCGAAGTGACAATAAAGCACCCCGCCCTTGCAGATCTCCATCACCAGGTGCACGTGCAGGGGGGGTGAGAAAGGGGTGGGATGAGGTGCGGGGGGGTAATTCAGCTTACTACCCAACCCTAGCACGCCACATGCATACCTCACCTTGCTGTCCTCTAAGGTCTTATAGAGGTCGATGATGTTGGGGTGACCCGTCAGCTGCTGCTTTCAAACAGCCCTCATTAATCCACATACCACACACCACACACACACCCCACCCTTGCCCCACCTTGCTTGCTCTCCTCAAACTTCTCATAGAGGTCGATGATGTTGGGTGGGGTGAGGTGGAGTGGGGTTCCTCTACTTATCGCTCAACCCATACCACACCAAACCCTCATCCCACCTTGCTATCCTCAAAGGTCTCATAAAGGTCGACGATGTTCAGGGTGGAGTCGGGTGGGGTGCGTTAAGATGGGGTATCTCTGCTCTGCGTACCGTGCGATTCCTCCCACACCGCACACACTTGCCTCACCTTGCTGTCCTGTCTTCCAACCAAGGTCTCATAAAGGTCACTGATGTTGGAATGGGTTACATCTACATCTACTCACTATCCCCCACAAACTCCTCAGCTCACCTTGCTGTCCTCAAACGTCTCATAGAGGTCGATGATGTTGGGGTGGCCCCTCAGCTGCTGCCCTCCATCGGCCATCACTAATCCACCGCACCACCCTGCAACTCCTCCCACACCACACACACGCCCTAACCACCCTCATCTCACCTTGCTGTCCTCAAAAGTCTCATAGAGGTCGATGATGTTGGGGTGGCCCCGCAGCTGCTGCATCAGCTGCACCTCCTTGCGCACGTCCTCTGCATCCTCCGGGCACTGCAGCGGTGGAGTGCGGTGGGGTGGGATGGGGTGGAATGGGGTCAGGTGGAGTGAGGTGGGGTGGGGTGGAGTGGGGTGAAGCGGGGTGGCACATGGAGAGCAATGGGGGAGGCCAGGCACATCAACCCATGGGGAGGCTGCAGCACCTGCTGCCGCACCTCTGCGCAAGGAGGTCCGACCCCTACCCACCCCACCGCACCTCCTTGTGCTGCGTCCCCCGGACACTGCAGTGGTTGCTGGCTGCGTGATGCATGGTGATGCGGTGATGGCATGCGGTGATGGCATGCGGTGATGGCATGCGGTGATGGCATGCGGTGATGGCATGCGGTGATGGCATGCGGTGATGGCATGCGGTGATGGCATGCGGTGATGGCATGCGGTGATGGCATGCGGTGATGGCATGCGGTGATGGCATGCGGTGATGGCATGCGGTGATGGCATGCGGTGATGGCATGCGGTGATGGCATGCGGTGATGGCATGCGGTGATGGCATGCGGTGATGGCATGCGGTGATGGCATGCGGTGATGGCATGCGGTGATGGCATGCGGTGATGGCATGCGGTGATGGCATGCGGTGATGGCATGCGGTGATGGCATGCGGTGATGGCATGCGGTGCGAATTTATACTCCCACCCACACTCCCAAACTCACACCAATGCAAAATCCGCCTCCTGCTCCCACGCCCTCACTCCCACTGTCCCACACCCTCACTCCCACTCTCCCACTCACCCACACCCTCACTCCCACTCACACACACCCTCACTCCCACTCTCCCACACCCTCACTCCCACTCTCCCACGCCCTCACTCCCTCTCCCACGCCCTCGCTCCCTCTCTCCCACGCCCTCGTTCCCACTCTCCCTCACCCTCACTCCCACTCTCCCACGCCCTCACTCCCTCTCTCCCACGCCCTCACTCCCACTGTCCCACACCCTCACTCCCACTCTCCCACACCCTCACTCCCACTGTTCCACATCTTCACTTCCACTGTCCCACACCCTCACTCCCACTCTCCCACACCCTCACTCCCACTCTCCCACTCACCCACACCCTCACTCCCACTCACACACACCCTCACTCCCACTCTCCCACACCCTCACTCCCACTCTCCCACGCCCTCACTCCCTCTCCCACGCCCTCGCTCCCTCTCTCCCACGCCCTCGTTCCCACTCTCCCTCACCCTCACTCCCACTCTCCCACGCCCTCACTCCCTCTCTCCCACGCCCTCACTCCCACTGTCCCACACCCTCACTCACACTCTCCCACACCCTCACTGCCACTGTTCCACATCCTCACTTCCACTGTCCCACACCCTCACTCCCACTCTCCCACACCCTCACTCCCACTCTCCCACACCCTCACTCCCACTCTCCCACACCCTCACTCCCACCCACTCCCCCACGCCCTCAATCCTGTCCCTCCCCATCCATCAACCGCCTGCATCGCTGCTGCTCCCTCCCTGCCACAGCGCACACTCTTGCAATCCCCCAACCCAAATGCACCACTCACTTGTACGGACCCTGTGCCGGGGGTAATGATGGCAATCCGTCCCACCCAGCCCCACCCAGCCCCACCCAGAACCTTTGCCTGCTCTGCTAGTCTCAGAGTTCTGTAAAACCACCAAACTGTTTAGTTCATCATTTCTACGCCTTTCAGTCCAGACCAAGCATACAGTTCAGCCCAGGAATCTTCTAGCAACCCTCCCACCCTGAGTTGACTTTTAAGTTGACTCAAAAGTCAACCAAGTCCAGACCAAGCATACAGTTCTGCCCGGGAATCTTCAGTCAACCCTCCCACCCTCACACTCACCACAGTTGGCTCCTCGCTGTTGGTCTTACACGCCAGCAGCACACCCACAGCCTGAGTCACGCGCCAGCACCACTATCCGTCCCATCCCACTCACCCCACACAGGCACTCACCACAATCCGTTCCTTGCTGATCGTTTTGCAAGCCAGCAGCGCGCCAGTCATTCTATTGACGCACGATCGAATAACGCCGAACTGCCCCACGCCCAGCTCCTCCTCCTGCACGTCAAACACCTCGGTGACCTCGCGGTACGGCTTGCGCAGGATGAAGTCCGTGTGCCGCAGGCTGCCCCCGTCCACCCATGATGATATGCGCCGGTGCGCGCCCTTCTGTAGCGCCGCCACCGGCCCCGCTACAGCCACCGGCGCTACGGTCACTGGTGCTACAGCTGCCGCTGGTATGCCCCCCCCTGCTGCTGCTGCTGCTGCTCCCAATGCTCCCCCGCCCGCCCCAACCCCGACACTCCCTCTCACCCCACTACCCTCCCTCCTCAGCCCAGACCTTTCTTTCACAGACCCTATCCCCGCCACCTCCCGCACTCCTCTCCCCATTCCTCCTGCTCCGCTTCCCCCTGCCCCCTCTCCCCCCATCCCCCCTCCCCCCGCCTTCCCCGCGGGGGGGCCTACCGCCACCAGTTTAACCTCTCTGCCCTCATCCCCGCTATCATCTGCCCCGATTTCCACTCTTAGCTGTAGCTTTTTCAGCCCTATAGCGGATTTCCGCGGAGACCCTGCGCCTCCAGGTTCCCCCCTGGGCGAACCCGCCGCGCTCCCCCTCTCGCTCCCCCGCTCGCTCCCCCTCTCGCTCCCCCCATCGCCCCCGATCCCCAACCGCTTTCTGTGGGCGGAAATCGCGGCGCTGACAGCGCTCGCGCCGCCACCCGGCGCGTCGCGCCCCGTAGCCACGGACACGTCAGACAACGCGACGGATTCCGTCGGCGAGCTACGCTCCGTCCCCTCCCCGTCATCCTCCTGAACGGGAGACGCGATCCCCCTCATCCCCGCGCGTCCCACGCCCATCCCTCCCCCCTCCGCATCCGCGTAACCCTGATCCCTCCCCGCCGCTGCCCCCGCGCCGCCCGCCAGCCGCCCCTTCGTGAGCGGCATAGCAGCGGAATAAATATTATGATCCACGCTCCCGATGCGCCGATGGCGCCCCTTTCCGCCGCCCGCGCCCGCTCCGCCGCCCTTCTCCATGTGGCGGAGCACCTGGCGCTGTCCCACCTCCGGCGCTCTCAGCCGGTCCATGCGGCTCCCCTCAATCTCTTTCCCTGCGGAAGACGCGGACGGGGGAAACGCGGGGGTGGGCTTCCGCGCGCCAGGCTCTTCCGCGTCGCTTCCCGCTCTCCCCGCGGCGGAAGCTCCGCCCCCTCCGCCGGCGTCGGAATCACCCCCGCCACTGCTACTGTGCTCCGCGGAAGAACGCCTGCTGCGCGGCCTTTCTTTTTCCGCGTGGCTCTTCCCCTTCTTGGTTTTCGCCTTGGCGTTCGCCAATGGCGCTTTGACACGTGGTACAGATACCTCGCTCGCGTCGTCGTCGCAGTCTTGTTCCGAATCCGTCTCCTCCTCCGCCACAGCGGGAACAACGGGCTTTAAGATGGGTTCTATTATCGGGTTTTCTACTAACTGAAACCCGCAATTCGGGCAGAACTGGTACCGCGGCTTGCAATACGCGACTCCGCCGGCAGCGGCCGCCAAAGCCGCCGCCGCCGCCGCCAACTCCGCGCTCCCCGGCGGAAATTGCGCCGCGTTCACAGATGGCTTTAACGGAAACCGCGGCTTGTCCGCATCTGACGGTATGGAGTCAGGGGTGTTGACGAGCGGTAATCGCGGATCGACGACGCTATTGATACTGCTGCTGTTGCTGCTGTTGTTAACCCCGTTTCGCATCGACTCCAGCGTCGGCTGTCTCGCCGCGCCGCCCATTGCGCCGCTTCTGCTTCGCCCCCCGCCGCCGTTCGTGCTGTTCCCCGTGGCCGTAGGGACCGCCCCGTACCCGCCGCTTAAACCGGAAAGACTAAGACCGGCCAACGAGGCCCGCGCCTCGACGGCGACGTTATCGGAGGATTTTCGCCTGCGGCGCCCCTCGTGGCTCGAGTGACTGCCGGAGCCGCGCCCGTCCGACATGTGCCCGGGCGACTCTGCGTGGTTGGCGACACTGTGCGGCGAAGCGCTGCGAACGGGTAACCCTACGCCGACGCCGGACCCTGCATGCTTGCTGCTTCCGCGCTCAATCGCGCTTCCCCCGATTCCACCTCCCCTGCTTCCGCCTCCCCCGACCATATGAAACTCCTGCAGGCGCAGCTCGAGCGGGCTGACGGACGCGACCGTAGCGCGCCGGCGGCTTCCGCTCTTGTGCGGGGGGAGCCCCGAGGGCTGCTCCGAGTGGTACTGCATCTTAAAGCCCTCGTACCCGGCAGTTCAAGTGTAGGACACTTGATACGGGTTTTCTAGGTTATTGGCTGCAATGCGGTGCTTCTAATGACCTCCTAACCATCTGTAGGATAGGTGAGGCGACGGGTGATGATGTTAAAGAATATGGACGAGATAATATAAGAGGAATTGCGGTAGGTGAGGGAATGGCCTTCGGAACTAGCAGGGGCGATTATTATTTCCGCGAGAGAACGCTGGGAACGCAACGCGAGGCGATGTGAGAGAATGTACTCAGTTAATGAGGGTCGATGTAGCTCACCATGCGAACGATTCGCGTGGAACATAAACTATCACTACCCTCAAGGACGACAGCTTTCGAAATAATTAATATTAGAGAAACTTATTTTCAGCAACAGCAGAGTTTATATGAAGGTCCGCTGTGCTAAGGCTGAGGACCTTGATAGTAGGTTGTGGGAAAGCAAAGCTCTGTTGAGCTGGAAGGTTGAGACAGAGGCAACGAGCAAGCTAGTTGGCTGATTTCAAAGATGGTGCAGCTGACAAGCTGGCACTGCTGCACGAACAAGCGTCAAACACGGACAGTCCAAACGGAGTTTAAAACCACCGTGGCTTCTAGGGACAGATGGAGCTGCGAACCGTACCGTGCGTACGCAACCAGCGTACGAAACCCAAGAAGGTGGTGCTGGTGGTAGCTGTCGTTTCTGAAACCCAAGAGCCAGCAAGCCAGCCTGAGGTTTGGACCTCAGGTTTTCACAGCCATTGTAAGGTTTGGAGGTCGCAAGCGTGGTAACCTGAATGTTTGTGGTTTGCGATTTTTGGCGACAGAAACTCTACCTTGTGTTCTAGCCTTGAATTTCTGGTGCGAGGTTCCGAATTCTCAAGTTCGGTTCGGGAAGATCACTCAAGCTGATGAAGCCTGATGGCTTCTTTCATGAGGAGCAAAACAATTGGAGGGAACCACGTGGACGTACGTACGCACGCCACCACACGAAACTCGTGGTGGCATTCGGTGGTGTGTGGTGGAAGAATCGGAGTGTTGCACAGTGTCTGGTGTACAGTACACTGACAAGGTGGGTGGATCACCTGGCGGTCCGGCGGCCATGAGTGGAACGCTGTGGGTCCCGTGGGGCACAGCCCACCGCCCTCTAGGCACGAAAGCGGGCACAAACCATTCCCAACAAACAGCCGAAAACGTGCAGTGCGCACTGGGATAACAAGGTTGACTCGTTTGTAATTTCTCCAGCTATTAGAGCATGTTAGGGTTGCACTGTAGAAGCTAGCCTAATGGGCAATTCGTAATGGTCAATGGGGTGATTGGAAAGTGGAAGGCTCTGTTACGGTAAAAGGTGAGGTCATCATATATAAGAGAAAGAAATTTGCTGTCAAGATACAATGTGCATGTGTAAAACAATAACTGGTACCTACCTAAACGGTACTAGGAATTTCTCCAATATGTCCTTTCTTCAAACCTACCAACAAGCCCCCCTCTCTCTTCCAAATTCCAACCCTTCTCCTCCCCCCCCCCCCCCCCCCCCCCCCCTCCTCCCCTAACTGATTCCTTTTTGCGGATAGACGAGCCGGAGCTAAGCTTCTTGCCTGAAGCTGGAACCCCAACAACTGTCCTCAGTTCCTGCGGCATCTTTCCTCCACTCCAAGTCGTCTCCGAAGCACAATGAAAAGTACGGTACGGTTGGTTTTGCCTTTCTTTAATCTTGTGAAATTCATACAGCATCAACACAATACACACGTGGTAACCACCAACAAACCAAACCCCAACAGTCTCAGGCCGCAGCAGCTGCCTGCTTGTTGCGCTGCACTCGCCTCACCACCTCCTCCATAGCAATATCAAAGGCGTCTCGCTTTTGTTCCATGGGATACATGCGCGGGTGGTTGTACACCACTGCCGGCATCACCTCCCTTATGATCTTCAACCTCATTCGCCGCACCTAGAGAGAGCGGGGAAGGAAAGGCGGAAAGGGGAACGAATGAGTGGGAGGGAAAAAGAGGGGAGGGCAAAATTAAAGGCGTCTCGCCTGTTCTCCATAGGGTACATGAGTGGATGGTTGTACACCACTGCTGGCATCACCAGCCCTTATGATCTTCAACCTCATTCGCCGCACCTAGAGAGAGCGGGGAAGGAAAGACGGAAAGGGGAACGAATAAGGGAGTGGGAGGGAAAAAGAGGGGGCAAAATTAAAGGCGTCTCGCCTGTTCTCCATAGGGTACATGAGTGGATGGTTGTACACCACAGCTGGCATCACCAACCCTTATGATCTTCAACCTCATTCACCGCACCTAGAAAGAGTGGGAGCACAAGGGGAGGCGCAAGAGGAGGGTAACGAAGAGGGGAAGAGGGGAGGGCGATACAAGAAACGTCTCGCCTGTGTTCCATGGGATACATGCGCGGATGGTTGTACACCCCTGCCGGCAACACCTCTCTTATGTTTCCCAACCGCATGCGCCGCACCTAGAGCAATGGGCACACATGTGGGGAGGGAAATGTGAGAGGAGTTAACATGGGAGGGAAAGGGGGAGGGAAAAGGGTGCATGCGCAGGAGGCTGTACACCCCTGCTGGGGGTGCATGCCTTATGATCTTCAACCTCATGCGCCGCACCTAGAGCAATGGCACATGCGTAGGGAAGGAAAGTTGAAAGGAGTGAACGTGGAAGGGAATAGGGGCACATGTGCGGGTGGTTGTACACCCCTGCTAGCATCACCTCTCTTATGATCTTCAACCGCATGCAGCGCACCTAGAGAGAGCGAAACGTAGAGTCAGGGGAGGGTAAAGGGGAGGGAAAGGTGCCATGGTTATGTGAAAGAGGTCTTGTCTCTGGTGTATGGGGTGCATGCATGGTGGTAATACATAATACACCGCTGATGGGATGGCTGTTCTCGAGATGCAGATGTGCCATGGGTGATGGGATGGTTGTTCTCGAACATGCTCCTCAATCACACATGCAACAGTGCCACGTATATGCACAACGGTAGCATGCACAACGGTAGCATGCACAACGGTAGCATGCACAACAGTGACTTGCGTAACAGTGACTTGCGCAACAGTGGCTTGCTTAACAGTGGCTTGCTTAACAGTGACTTGCATAACAGTGACTTGCATAACAGTGACTTGCGTAACAGTGACTTGCGTAACAGTGACTTGCGTAACAGTGACTTGCGTAACAGTGACTTGCGTAACAGTGACTTGCGTAACAGTGACTTGCGTAACAGTGACATGCGTAACAGTGACTTGCATAACAGTGACATGCGTAACAGTGACTTGCGTAACAGTGACATGCGTAACAGTGACTTGCGTAACAGTGACTTGCGTAACAGTGACTTGCGTATCAGCTACAAACAAGAAACTACAAAGGCACTCTATGTTGACACGGACCATAGAGTCAACAACGTGAGCCTTTGCACTCGGGAAAGGAACCAGGAGTGGGACACACCGACCGAACCAAGAGTGGGACGCACCCACTGAAGCAAGAGTGGGACACACCGACCGAACCAAGAGTGGGACATGCCGACCGAACCAAGCACATACAGACGGTTCGCCCTGGTCCTGCTTACCTCCTTTCCTGGAATCTTCTCGAGCTCCTTGATGACGTCAACCTTGCCTGCCAACACTGCTTTCTCACTCAGCGTCACCGAGTAGGTGCTGCTGTTGGCCGGTAGGTGCCACTTGTACTGTGCAGTAAGGAGTGGGGGAAAGGGGAGAGCCGAGGGATGGATAGAGGGATGAAGGAACAACATGATGATCACTCAGCGTCACCGCGTAGGTGCTGCTGTTGGCCGGTAGGTGCCACTTGTACTGTGCAGTAAGGAGTGGGGGAAAGAGGAGAGGAGAGGGATGAGGGAGGAAGGAACAACATGATGATCACTCGACGTCACCGAGTAGGTGCTGTTGTTGGCTGGTAGGTGCCACTTGTACTGCGACGCAGGAGGAGGGGGGGACTGGGAGAGGGGCGGATGGGAGAGGGGCGGATGGAGGGAGGGATAGCATGAAGTTGATTTTGAGAATTCTCAAAATGAACCTCAAACAAAACGGGAGGGATAACATGAAGTTGATTTTGAGAATTCTCAAAATCAACCTCAAACAAAACGGGAGGGATAACATGAAGAACCATTTGAAGCGACAGAAAAGCTGTTGCTGTTGGCGGATAGGTGCCACTTGTACTGTGACGCAGGGGAAGGGAGGAGAGAGGAGAGAGATGGAGGGAGGAAGTGACAACATGATCATTCAGTGTCGCCGAGTAGGTGGTGCTGTTGGCCGCTGCTGCTGCACGACTAGGCCGGCTGCACGACTAGGCCGGCTGCACGACCAGGCCGGCTGCACGACTAGACGGGGCGCCTTTAATATCAACAATGGCAGCTTGACTCATACAGCTGCGTGCTGAGGTTACTAAGAGGGTCACGAGGGAGTGGAGTCGCGGAAGACAGGGATGCAGCCGGCAACGATGGCATCTGGAGGGAACATGCTGAGCCCAGAACATGCTGAGCCCAGAACATGCTGAGCCCAGAACATGCTGCACACTCGCACTCACACACCCACACATCCACACTGAGCGCACCTGGGAGGGAACAGAGGAGTCGAGGAAGACGGGGAGGGATGCAGCCAGCAACAATGGCGTCAAAGGCGGCTCTGTGTGCTCAACAAACACATGTACAGCACACCTGAGAGGACACCTGAGCTTACCTGGGAGGGCACCTGTGCTGTATTCACCTGGGAGGGCACCTGTGCTGCATTCACCTGGGAGGGCACCTGTGCTGCATTCACCTGGGAGGGCACGAAGGAGTCGAGGAAGACGGGGATGCAGCCAGCCACGATGGCGTCAAAGGCGGCCCTGCGGGCGCCCGTGTGGCCCGATGGTACGATGCAGAAGGCAGCATCGGT